CCTGGGTTCGAGAAGAAACCCAGCCCTGGGTTCGCTGGGTTCGTCGAACCTAGGGCTGGGTTCAGCCAACACCAGCCCTAGCTTCGACCTAGGTTTGTCGAACCCAGGGCTGGGTTCAGCCAACACCAGCCTTGGGTTCGACAAACCAGGACCCACCCTGGGTTCGACCTGGGTTTGTCGAACCCAGGGCTGGGTGGGTTCCGAGGGGAAGGAGGAAGAGAAAGGGGAAGGAGAAAGAGAAAGGGAAAGGGAAAGGAGAAAGAAAAAGAAAAAAAGAAAAAAGAAAAAAAAATTTAAGTTTTATTTTTCAAAATATTTTTTTATATTATTTTTTTTCCACATCATCACTTTTTATATTATTATATGACATGTCATATGGTAACTGTTAAGTAACATGCCACGTCACACAATTTTTAACGGAAGGACCAAATTAGGGTAAAAATGGTAAACAGTAGGGACCAAATCAGGGATTTTTTTAGTTCAGGGACCAAATCAGGGGTCCATACAATAGTTCAGGGACCAAAAATGGGTATTAACCAATTATAAAACATGATTACTTTCTTTTATTTGTTAATTTTATTTTTTTTTTAAAAACTTTATTTCTTTCCTAATAATAACTAAACGATATTTTTTCATATATTATATTTATTGGTTATTTTCATTCAAGTGCAACTTATGAATTAGTATAGATTTACTCATTTGATATACAAAATATTTATGGGCAAAAGTCGCTTGATAATTTCAATATGGAAGACAGAAAATTGAGCCAAACTCAATTGCAAGTATGATAAGATGCAAGGATATAAAGTGGAAACCGGCCGCATTCATCATCGAACACAGAATTCTAACTGGCCTTTTTCAGTTTCTGAATGTCTGGAGGATTGCAAAAAGCTAGTAATGTGTCTCATTTCACTGTGGGGTATCTCTGAGATTTAAAAATGTTTAACAAATATATAATTTATCAGAGGTGTCAATCAATCAATCAATATAGATTAAATAGTTTTTGCATTTCATTCTTTGTGGCAGCAACAAATTGCCGCTTGCGTAAAGACAGTTATTGGATAAATAAATCTACCTTTTATTCAAGAAAAAACGTCAATTGAAATTTATTGTTAAAATTGGCCAAAAACTTTGATGTTAGATCCCCACGCTCGAATGGCTTAAATTTTTATTTAGTGTGGATCACTCTTTGTAAATTATATGTCCAAACCGTATATATCCCTTTTTTAATCTATATTTATTTAATAGATATTAATTTCTTTTTGTTAAAAAAAAATTTTAAGTACCATTTTGGTCCCTTAACTTTTCACTTTAATGTTAAAATTGTTTCTCAACTTTAAAAAATATCAAAATTATCCTTAAATTTTCATTTTTGATACTAAAATGATCCTTCTATCAGTTAAGTGACAAGCGACATGTTAAAATGCCATAAAATCACTGCATTTTTTTTAATCTTAATGATGTGTAAATCCACTAGAGAAAATTTTATCAACATGGCATTTTTTTTATAAATCAGATTATCAAACAATCATTGAAAATTTTATGGGATCCAAATGAAAATTTGTTTTCTCTTTTCTTAGTTTTAGTCGAGTTCACAAAAATGACAGTGTTCTTCATTTCTCTTTTCATTTTCTTTTCAGATTCAAAACCCTAAACCTACTACTTCTGCAAAATCAAAATCAAATCAAGCTTTATATCACCATGGAATCTGTTGATCGAATATGTTGGTTTGGTATTTTTTAAAATTCATACCAGATCTGGGTTTTCTCTCTCAAACTTCATCTTCTTCCTCCTTTCCTCCTTCGATAGGTTTGCCTCCTCAGTCCTTATCAACCTTCCTCCTTCCTTTCCCTGTTCATCCTTCTTCTTTCTTCTTCTTATTCTTTCTTTCTCTTCTCCCTTCTTCTTCCTTTCTCAAACCCAGATCTAGGTTTCTCTCAAACCCAAATATTCATGTTTCATCCATAATAGGCATCAAACTTAAAAAAAAAAAAAAATCAACCTAAAATCAAGGGAAGCATATCAGAATCTGAAAAGAGATACCCCACCCACGGGAAGTTCTCTCTTAACTGTTTCCCGTCTAAGATTTATACCTAAGAAGCAAACAAATGCAGATCTGTAGTTTTCCGATACAAATGTCAACCTCCTTCCTTTACTCTTTTACCTTACCACAGCAAAATAGCAAAGCCCTCCCTTAGTCACCCAAATCTCACCTAAAGTATGCTAGAAATCGCCCTTTTGCTCTCCCATCTCTTCCATTGCTGTTTCTGCAGAAATCACCAAGAGCACAAGTTGGAAATTATTGAGATTTTTGTCCCTTTTGTGCGGCTGTCACAGAAGAAATACAAGAGGTTTTCTGTGGTTTTGAGTAAAGGGAGTGGTTGTTTGGAGGTGATCGGTGAAGATGATGAAATTAGAAAGATGATCTGGGAAGATGGTGACAAAATGAGATCAAAATTGGCAAAAAGAAGATTTTTTTTTTTTGGGTGTGTGTGGCTGTCCTCTCAGATCTGGGTTTGAGAGAGAGAAAGTGACGCATCAATTGATCCTCCAAATACCGCTACAGCAACCCCACCCCACTCTCTTCCCTTTCATTATTGCACCCACACCTCTCCTCGCCTCCCCGCAGTCGCTCCTCCTCTTTTGTCGACTGTCGTGCAACCGCTTTCCTTCTCCTCCTCTCGCGACAAATCCAAAAGCAGAACTCCGCGGCACAGAGTAGAGGAAAAGTTATGCAGAGGAGAGGGAGGAGGATAAGAGAGCAGAGTAGGAGGAACAAGTACCGACTCTGAGGTGTTCGAAACCACGTGCAAGGGTCTAGCACAAACCGAACTAGCACGAAGCTTGCTTCATCATGAATTTGTGTGTGGTGTTTATGAAAAAAATGTAGGAGCGATATGTTAATGAATAAAATTGTTAGTTGTATGGTGTTTATTACTTGTATTTTCCATTTTAATGTATGAATTTTCACCAAATTGATCTGGGTTTGGGTTTGGGAAAAACCCAGATCTAGGTTTGAAAGAGAAAGAAAAGGGAGAAGAGAGAAAGTGAAAGAGGAAGAAAAGAAGAGCTGTTTTATTTTCTGATGTGGATAGAAGAAAAAAATATAATTATTTTTAAATTAATTAAAAATGTCAACTCATAAAAAAATATGTTTTCTTTCCACGTGTTAAGAAAAAAAATTGATATTTTTTTTTTCCGTTTTCCGTCCGATATTCGGGGCTTCGCCCCGACTAATTCGGACCCGACCCGCGTCGCGCACCTAGAAATGGTAGTTGAGTCTGGTAAAAAAAAAAAAAAATTGATTTGCTAGTAAGTTAACGTGCCACATTTCTATTTAACTGACGGAAGGACTGTTTTGGTATTGAAAATGAAAGTCTAACGATAATTTTGGTACTTTTTAAAGTTGAGGGACAATTTTGATATCAAAGTGGAAAGTTGAGGGATCAAAATGGTATTTTAACCAAAAAAAAAACTTTGATGTTAAAGAAATTGAACGAGTAAAACGCAGAAAGGACACGATAAAAACAGAGGGATCTGCTAAAAAAAGAAAAAAAACAGAAGAAGACGATGGGGCGTTGAGCCCGGTTCATTTCGGCCCTTTTTGTGATGGAACACTTGGATGGTATGGTCCAACACAAAATCTGATGGTATAATCAGGATAAAGAACATTTTAATTTGTAAGATTGGAAGCACCATAACATTGTTGGCCGAAAAGAGGGAAACAAAAAAAAAAAAAAACCTTCATAACGAAACGGTTAAAAAGATAACTGTGATTTTGAGTTTCGAGGCCGTGAACGGCTTCGCATGGTGGCCTGAAGCTCCAGCCCTGCTAACCAAAGATGCACAACTTTCTCGGCGCGATAAGCAAAGGTTGGGATTTCCAGAAAACGAGCTTGCGTTGAAAACTGAAAATTGACCACCAGTGGGGATTTCACCGGAGAAATCATTATCTGAAAGATCGAGAGTTGTGAGGCCCGTCATGTATCTAATTTCATCGGAAATTTCACCGCTAAGCTGGTTCCTTGACAAATTGAGGATGCTCAAATCAATCAGCTTAGAAATGCCTTTCGGAATTTCTCCAGTAAGCTTGTTTCTACTCAAATCAATTGAATTAAGTGATGTGCATTGAGAAATTGAAGCAGGTATTTCACCGCTAATGTCGTTGTTGCTGATGTTCAGCTTCGAAAGTGACTTGATCTTGAAGATCTCCTCAGGAATTTCACCAGAAAATCTGTTTGCATCGAGAAACAGGGTCTGTAAATTAGCCAAATTACGTATCGCCGGAGGAATTGTTCCGGTGATCATATTACCGGACATTTTCAGCAGGCCTAGCTTAGCACCTGACATCTCTGAAGGCAGTTCACCGGAGAACAAATTGTCATCTAACTCCATTTGTGTGACCAGCGGTAAGTTGAAAACTCCGGTGGGGATCGTTCCATTGAGGAAGTTTCTTGTGGTTCGAATCTTGGTAAGAGACTTGCACTCACCGATTCCCTCTGGAAGTGGACCGTTGAAGATATTGTTCATGAGAATCAACATAATCAAATTTCCT